GGTTTAACATATGTGTAATTGGAGTTCCCTGAGCAGAAGAGACAAGGAAGATACAGGAAAATATTTGAGGATATGGCCAAAAATTTCCAAATTTGTTAAAAACTATAAACCCACAATCCAAAAAGCTCAAGAGACTCTAAGGAGGATACACACACACACACACACACACACACCAAAGCTAATCATAATCAAATTGTGGAAAACCAGTGATAATAAGAAAATCTTAAAAGCAGCTAGAGAGAAAAGACAATTATGTACAGAGAAACAAAGAATAACCAAAAAGTTCTCATCAGAAACTGTGCAAGCCAGAAGAAAATGGGATGACAAATGTCACTTCCTTAGAAAGGCCTTCCCTGACCATTGTATCTAAACCACCAAACCTTCCCCTCCACCTTCCATGTCACATTCTATGTTCTTACTTTGCTTTAATTATTAACTTGCTTGTGGCCTCTCTCTCCACTAGAATGTAAGCTCCAAGAGGGCAGGATGTTAAAACGTCCTTTGACTTGCTCACTGCTTTATTCCCAGTGCCTAGAACAGTAACTAGTATTTAGTAGGTGCTCAATAAGTATTTGATAGATAAGGTTGTCTTCCACGCAGAAGAATATACAAGCAGAGAGCAGCAAAGCCTCCTAGAACCTCTAATAGTTCAGCATAATTAGAGCCCAAGATGTGCAGTAGTGAGTGTGTGGAAATAAAGCTGGAGTGTGAGACAGATGCCAGGTCATAGAGGAACTTGTAGGACATGCTATGGAACTTGGGTTTCATTCTGTAGGCAGAGATTGTAGGCAAATGAGTGTTACTATTCTACTTGTATTTTAGAAAAATTACTCTGGCAGCCCCTTGTGCCAGATGAATCAGAGGGGAGAATTTGAGAGAGGGAAACTAACAGGGAAGCTATGAAAGTAGCCAGGGTGAAAGATGGTGCAGACCTGCTGTGGACTTGAAGTAGTGAGGGTGGACCAGATCTAGAAAGCTCTTTGGGAGGTGGAATGTACAGGAGTTGGGGAGCAGCTAGATGTAAAGGATGAAGGAGAAATTTTTGACTTAAGTGGTTGGGTGGATAAGGAATATAGGAGACAAAGTAGATTTTAGAGAAAGACGGTGAATTAATTATCTATTGCTGAGTAACAAATTACCCCCAAACCTCACAGCTTAAACTAACAAATATTTATTATGTCACAGTTTCTGTGGATCAGGAATCTAGGCTTAGCTGACTGCCTCTGGTTCAAGGTCTCTCAGAAGGCTGCGATCAACAAGTTGGCCAGGACTGCAGTCATCTCAGGGTTTGGCTGGGGAAAGATCCTCTTCCCAGCTCACTCACATGGCTGTTGGCAGGCCTCAGGTCCCGCCTGGCTATTGGCTGGAGCCATGAGTTCCTAGTCACCTGGACTCCTCCATAGGGCAGCTCACAACATAGCAGCTGGCTTCCCTCAGAGCGAGCAAGAGAGTAAGAGAATGCATCCCAAGATGGAAGCCGCAGTCTTTTTATTACCTAATATTGGTAGTGACATCCCATCATTTCTGCCCTATTTTATTTGTTAGAAACAAGTCACTAGGTGCAGCCCACACTCAAGGGGAGGGGATTACACAAGGGCATGAATACCAGGAGGTATTCCTGGGGAGGGGGATCGTTGGGACCATCTTAGAGGCTGCCAAGTACAGATAGTAAGCATGGATGCATTGAATTTGAGGAGTCTGGGACCGCCCAGTTGGGAATACCCTGGATGCAGATGAATGTGTAGTTCTGGGGCTCAGGAGAGAATCCTCTCTCATTGGAATGTAGCTTGGAGCCTTTGCCTGAGTTTACAATTAATGGCTCAGGATCCTATTCTCCCCAACTTCTTTGGAAGCTTCTAGAGGTCAGGGATGAAGGACAGATATCTTTGAATCCCCAGGGCCCCTCAAGTAGGGGGTATGCAACACCTAATTGCTGATTGAATTGCTTGGATTGGGGCAGAGTATCACAAGATTGAAAAGTTCTCTCTCTCCATTTGACAATTCCTACTCTATCACCAAACCACAAAGAGGTTTTCCCCTTTCTAAGCTGCAGGTTTCTGGTCTGCGTAAAATAGGTGTTAGACTAGGTTAGTAGTTTTTCAGAAAAATACAAAGCTTTTTCTCAGTATGTAAAACAGGTAAAAGTTGATCTGATCTGGCCTCCCCAGTGCTTCCCCACAAAAGAATCTCATTTTGAAAAACACCGGACCACGTAAATTCCTGATTTTTCTGCCAGCTCTGATATTCCAGGATTTTATGAGAAGATCATCTCTAAGCTCCTCCCAGTTCTGTGACTCTGTTTATTGAGATCCATTGGTGCTACATATTTCATCAAACTTTTGAAAAGAAAACAATTCATATATCCTTGAACCTGTGAAAAATGTAATAAAGCTGACCTTCGTTAAATGCTTACTATGCATCAGGCAATGTGCAAAATATTTTACATTACATTATCTTTATTTGATCCTGTCTCTCCTACTTGGTTGTAAGCTCCATGAGGGGAAGGACTTTGTCTAGTCCACTACTAAATTTCCAGAAGCTAGAATAGTTCCTGGAACATAGGAAGCATTCAATAAATATTTTATGAATGAATGAACTAAGGTATGTACTATTCTTATTCCCATTTTACAGATGAGGAAACTGGGCCTTAGAGCTGCTTAGTAACTTGCCTGTATTACACAAGTTGAAGGCAGAACTAAGATTTGAAATTGTCTCCTCTGGACTCCAAAGCCACTAATGCCGTTTCTTTTTGGTGGGTTAGTAGGAAACTGGAACAGGAGCTAGCATATACTGAGTACCTCCTATATAATGAGCATAAACCTAGGTCCTTTTTGCTTCCATTATCAACTACCCTGCAAGGTAGCCATTGTTATCCCATTTTTCAGATGAGGCAGGTGAGACTCAGAGAGGCTAAGCACCACACCTGGAGTCGTTTAGCTAGTGTAAGAGACTGAGCTGAGATTGTAGCCCACGTCTTTCTAACTCCAAAGCATTCCTGTACAAGACCCAACATATTCAACTACAGGCACCAACGTTTAGATTCCGGAAACTATCGTGCCACTGGAGGGTACAGGTCAATACGGCTGATACCACCTCCCTTCTCCAGCTTTCCTATGGCTTTATATCCAGAAAACCATGATGCATTGAACTGGGAAGAGTCTACCCGGCTGAGAAAGTACAAGTCCAAACTTCTAAGATGTAGCAGAAAGTAAGCGTTGATGACTAACGATGATAAACGTTGGCACTACAGCCCGCTGTTCTCTGTAGCCTCATCACCATCACGTGTCCCAGACCAGGTCTGAAGTTAGACTGATGACGTCACCAGAGTCTCTTAAAGGCCTCATTACTCACATCCACTTGTCATATATTATTAAGCAGATCTATAATACATGTAACATTCTCTACTGAATTTCCATTCCTTTCTTTTCATGACCAGGGAAAGAAAAATAGACTGAGGATGACTTTTCCCAACATCTCATCCTTATTGCCCTTCGCTGAAGAATAACCTCATCTTGAATTACCCCCCAAAAATGGTCATTCAGGCTCTGATTTCATTAATAAAGATAAAGCTACAGTTTAATAATTATCATTTAACTAATGCATATTCTATACAGACAAGTAAATGGATTTCCCCTCATCTTTTCTTCTTGAGTCCACAGAGGAGGGGATACAGCTATATTTTTTTCTTTCTCTCCTTTGTTCTCCACATTACGTTTTGAAACTTTGTGATTATATCAATTCTGTTAGAAGCTTTCTACCTTATCACCTCCTATAGAAATAATGAGAGTCCTCTCAAGAATCTGACATCCTTGTAGTTGGAGGCTGAATCTAATTAGGACCTGTGATCTCAAGGATGAAGAGGAGTTAGCTAGGGGAAGGACTGTTTCAGGCAGAGAGGACGAGATGCACAGGTGGCTTACCCCAGCATAGGGCTTGTGAGGAATTGAAAGAGGCCAGAAGAAGACAAAGCCTCATCTGAGGCAGCATGCTGGATTCTAGAGATGTGTCCAATAAATGGTGTTGGAGTCAGCCGTGGGTGCAGGCGGCTTCGTAGGTACAAGGCTTGTGCAGTCAGACAGCGCCCCGTGCTCAGAAGGGCTCCATGCCTGGTTTAATGCTTTGTTGTCACTCTCATAAAGTTGTTAATACTTTTTGAACAAGGGGCCCTGCATTTTCATCTAGCACTGGGTCTCACAAAGTATATAGCCAGTCCTGCTTGGGTGTGAAATCCAGCTCTGTCACTTACCAGCTAGGCAGACTTGGGGAAATCCATTGGCCTTTCTGAGACTCAGTTTCTGCTTCCGTAAAACGGAGAGCATAATCCCTCCTTCAAATACACTCTCATAAGGATTAAATGAGATTATAAATAATTGGTGCATTGTATAGTAATTGGTGCCCAGTAGGTGTCTAATAAATATTCGCTTCTCTTTAGCTAAGAAGGTATATCAGAATCTCTGAGGGATTTGTTGTTCAAAATACATTTGCCTGCGTTCTACTCTGAAAGCTTCTGACTCACAGGTGTGGGTTGAGGGATGAGCAGTGGTTTTGAAAGGGGTCCTTAGTGATACTGATGTACACCAGAGGTTAAGAAAGGAGCCTTGGGTTTTCAGAGACCTGCTAAGAAGCAACTTAATAGAGGAGAGCAGGAGAGGGTGAAATTGATGGACTACCACTGATTCTTAACATAGTAAAAAACCTGTTACAGAAGAAAGAGGTCATCATCTTATAGCACTACAGATGACACCCATAGTGCTGAAATGCACTATGGGAACTCATCCCGTTATCAAGGTTCCTACAAAATTTGCTGCTATCCGTTTGACCTGACAAGTACACCCAGAGGGAGAAGGGCTGTGGACAAGAGAAGGCAGGGGCAAGACCCAGGTTGGGGGCCAAGCTGATTTGAATTTATTTTCGCCTTAATGATCCTAATGCCATACTCAATTCCCGAAAAGAAATTGTAGCTAGAGGGAGTAATTCTGAATTATGTTTATCCTGTCCAGATTTTAGGCTTTGACATTCTTCTAATGAAAAATCTGAAGCCTATACTACTTGAAGTAAATGCAAATCCCAGCATGAGAATCGAACATGAGCAAGAAGTAAGTATTTTGGGTATCTCATTGAATATATAGCCATACGACTGAATAGTCCCACTCTCATGTTGTTCATTCGGCTAAAAAGATTCAGTATTCCCAAATTTGCACAGCAAAGTTCTGTTCAAGTCTTAATAATTCCAGTTTTGTTGAGCTCCGAACATAGTCTATTAATATAAGACCTTTTCAACCTATGGTAATTTCCCAGCATGCCATTCTTCCAATTTTTAAGGTCTGCAGACGTCGAAACAGCGGAGCCTTCCCAACAGTTTTGACATGAACTAATTAGTTAGCCTCAGGAGATGAACTAATTGAAATTCTATGAATATGATTTAGCCATGTTGACATGCTTAAATCACTAAGATAAATAGTACATTTAACAGTGGTTATATTTTTCTCCTCCCTAAAAAAATGCATACAAAAGACTAGAAGGAAATACACCAAATATTAATACTGGGTTGTGGGGAGACTATGTGAATTCTTTTAATTTTCTTAACCCCTTTCTATATTTCCAAAGTTTCTACAATGAGCATGTATAATTTTGATAATCAGAAAAACAGCGCTCTTTTTCCTCTTCATGTATTTTGTTGATTTGTAAAAAGACATTGACATTTTTAAGGCAATGTAAAGAGAGCCTTTAAAAAATTCTCATCTATGGATTAATATAAGGAAAATCTAACAGTACAACCAGTGGATCTAGTGGGAGGATTGGATACTGATAGTTACTTGGCACTGAATCACTCTCTCCATTGTAACACACAATCCTTCCCCATTCAAGCTTTCTCCAGGGGTGTTTGAAAATGTCCCCAGCCTCGTTGATGAAGAAGTGAAAGTGGCCGTCATCAGAGACACACTGCGCCTCATGGACCCACTTAAGAAGAAAAGAGAGAAGCAGTAAGTGTTTTTTATATCATTTATTTCTATCAACTCTGCTTCCCGTGTCCTAAGCAGGTAGGTTAAGTTCTTGGAACGCGTTAACATTGTGAGTGAGATTTACACATTAAACCATCTAGTAAGTCATATTGTCATATATAAATATCACTCCCCAGATATAGTGACTCAAAATCAAGAGATGGAGACTTATAATATGAATCTAACATTTGGAGTTCAGCCAATGAATTTCTAGCTGACTGAATCTGGAAAGTCTCTTTGAAAAACACAGTGATAGGATTTCCTCCCACTCACCATTGTTCACATAGTGCTTCTCTTTGAAATCCTCAAGCATAGGGAGAGAAGACAAAACGCTGGAGAGGTGGGCCACAGGTGACTTGGACGTGGTAAGCATCGCTCCCTTTTTATTTCCTTCGTGGTGTTTACACACTTGCAGTATAAGCTTTTTGTTTCAGAATCTACAGAGCCAATTTAATGAACTTCTGGCAGTTCTATAATATTTACAATAGTTATCATCTCTCTCTCTCCCATTGGTGGCAGTATGTGCCCCGCCCCTCCCTCCGTGAAGTCACCCCTGAAATGAATGACATTTCACTTGGGTATTTTGTTTGTTTTGTTTTTACCAAATTCTTGGCTCTTACAAACTAAGGGTTGGGTAAATATCATTGTGCCTGTTTTAGGCAAAAAAAAAAAAAAAAAAAAAAAATCAAACAGACATTTGAGATAGCTCTCCTCATACCCCTGACAAATTAGGTTAACTCAAACGCTTCCAGACATGTAAAGCACGTGTCAGCTGTGGTTCAAGTCTTCAAGGAATGCTGACTTCCCTAAGCAAGTGGTGTTTTGCATGTTCCTCTACTGTGGCCCCCCACCAACTGGGCTGAAGCCCAAATATTGTTAGAATCACCCTACAGTAGTGCTTCTCCCCTTGGCTGCACACTAGAACCATCTGGAGAGCTTTCATAAATACCAGTGCATGGGCCCCCTCTTCTAGAGATGCTGATTTTAATTAGCCTGGGCCAGAGGCCTGGCCACAGAAATATTTTAGGTTCCCTAGGTGATTCTACTGTGCAGACAAGCTTGAGCACCACTGCCTTGCAGGAAATGTCACTGGGAAGGAGTATTTGTCATATTCTGAGTCAGGCTGGATGGTGCCTGCTCGGCTGGGTTCTCCTCCAGAGCGTTCTCACAGATTGCCATTGTGGGCAAGACTCGGCTGAGAATGTTCACCTGTAGTTGGAATGGGCCGATTCTGCCAGATGTGGCTTCCACTGACTAGAGCTTCAAAGTGGTGGTGTGTCAGGTCTGCCGAATCATTGGAGCAGCTCAGACACCAAGGCAGCCGGGTAATGTGTCCCCTTGTACACACACACAGCGGCTTTCTTTAGCCATCCCTAAGGAAAAGCAGTGGATTAATTGCAGTTTAGTCAGATTAATTGCAATAAAACTCATTCCTTGAAAATCTACTCTCTAATGGTTATTGATCTCACCAGTAGAATTGAGGTCTTGAGGGACTTTACCTCACTTTGGGGAGATTTTGGTGGCTATCTATGCCAGGATGGCACAGCAGTACAGTTTTTTAAAGATGACCTTGACACATTAGCATCCTGATTCCTTTGGTGGGAACAAGTGCAAAGGCCACGTGTGGCCTGAGCCTCTTCCTTAACCTCTGCCACCAAAACTGTGAAGACATGTGAGAGCACCACTGTATTTTCACATTAAACAGCTTCAAAATACAATTAGCTTCTTTTTCTTATTCTAGTTGTTTTTCTGTACCTGCCATTCTGTATAATCCACATGAGCTGCAGATCTGAAATTTAATAGTGGTGAGGCACAGGACCATTGGGAAGGACAGGAAAGGCATTTTACAACTTATCAAGTCACATGTAGCAGCATCTCGTTTTTAATTTAAAAAGCACTGACCTTTTTTTATTGATAACCAGGAACAGTTAGAAATTCAAGAACCTGACTTCAATTCTAATATAAAAACCCTTTCATGTCTCCCTTTTCCTACCTACCGTGTAAGGGTATATGTTAATAGCTAAATGTCACTTACTAATATTTTCCCTTAACTTCACCTTTAAAAAAAACAAAAACCAGCAATGACCGTCCATGAAAGCACTTTGTAATCTGTAAAGTGCATTTATATGTACGATATTATTATTATCATTTTGATAACTCTACCATGCAGAGAAAAAGGCTGAAATTATTCTCACTCCTTTGTGTAGAAATGTTTCAGAATAACTTGAAAAAGCATCATACTTATGCCCACAGAAAATGCACAGTGTTGCACTGCTGAATCATATGTGTCCAAATCGGAGACCATGTCACGCCAACGGCAGAAAATGATGTCACACAGACTTCTAGGCTGGAAGTTACCTTTAGAAGCCAGTTTGTTGTGTTTGCATAGGATCCAACCTAAACCTTTTAAAACAAATGGTATCCTAGCCTTTCCTTTCAACTCTTGAGCAAAAGCAGGTCTGAAGTATCCCTCATTGTCAGTAAGACTGTTGAAGTGGGTCTTCACTTTCCCCGCACAGACTGAAGAAGGTAGAGAGATGTCCTGGTGTCTCTAAACTTCTCTGGGAAGGTGCAGGGGGCATTAGAAGGGCACCAGACCCATGTGTCCATGTGTCACACATCTTCACACACCTCGGGGGCTTGCAGGCTGGGTCAGTTTTGTGGTGGGACTGAGAGCAGTCCTTGTGCCTTCTACGGAGAGAGGAACTGGCGGTTCTGCTGATACACATCTTAGCATAGTTGAAAGAACTTTCTCTTGAGCTGAAGAGACTGAGATTCAAATCCTTACCTTGGGGACATTACATCTCTGTCAAATGGGGATAATGACGTTTAAATGAAACACCGTGAAAAACTTTTAATATATAGTAGGCACTGAATAATGCTTAGTTTACTACTCAACAATAAAATTATCTACTAGAACATGAAACAACAAACAAAAAATAATGCTTAGTTAGCATTCTCGTTCCTAGTATACTTAAAGTAGAATTTTGAGTTTAAAACCAACGACATATCCTAAAACGGAAGCTGCTAGATCACTGTGCACTAGGATTGACATTGGAGCTGGTGGTCAATGGAAGGTTCTGTTTCCAGGTAGCAAGATGTCAGCTGTATTTATTTGTTGGGTTAGGAGAAAATGCCTTTGGCCCCTGAAGGAAGAAAAGAGCTGTCATATGAGAACTGTTGTGAACTCTGATGACGTTTTGTAATATCTAGTGACTCTGTGGATTTTCATACAAGGGTACTTTGCGGGCACTGTAGGGACATGGGAAGGGGAGGGCTAATGGGGTGGGACTCTAGAACCACCACATGGTCAGGAAAATCAGTGGAGAATTTCCCCTTTCCTCAAGGTATTTGGGCAGCCTAAGTCTTTCTTCTTTTAAAACTTCTATCAGAAGTAGAAGCGAATAAATTGCGTTCCCTGATTATTTTAAAAACAAGGCGATTCTTCCATCAATTGATTGAATTTTGGAAGGTCAGTTTACCCCGGGGGAAGCCATTTTACTAGCATTTTTCTCCTCTTCTTGAATGTAGATATTTCTGGTAACTGAATTCCTTTCTCAGGAATCATAACCCTTTAGGATCCTGGAATGAAGCCAGAGACAGGCCTGGAGGGATCTGAGGGGATTTTCTCGATATCATGATGCCACGCCGTGCTGGGAGCTGGGGTGTAGACTGTTCGCCTCTTATTCAAAAGTGTATACTTGGAACATGACTTATATAAGGCACAGAAGCCCCTTTTCCCACAGTAACATTTCTCCATCCTCTCTCAGCTTCATTTACCTCCCATCACCATAACAACCCGGGTATTACAAAGGCAGGAGTCAGCCTGCCAGGGCTGCTTTTGCCCTAATTCAGAGAGGTTGGTCCTCTGACGGCTTCTTTGGGAGCTCAGGCTGCACATCTTACCTTGAATCCAAACATATCTCTTGGGTCCCGTGCCATGTTTAGAACAAATAGATTCGGTGAATCCCCAAATTAGGTCGATTCCACATAGAATCTAGGATACTGATGAAACATTCTTAAAAAACAGAGATCAAAGAATCTCCCAAGGGCTCAGTCTCATGGCTGGGGCTTGTAGTTTGACCAAGGAATGTCACTCTGTCCTGTCCTGAAGAAGAATATCGAAAACATATTAATCAGAGATCCTCCAAGGCCACATCCCTCCCCCTTAAATTGGCAGTACGGCTGACTGACATGCCCTCAACCATAGGGAAGAGGGGTTCCCAAACCCTCTAGACTATACATGCCTTCATAAATGTAGAACATTATCTTTCTTATCAGAGATGATTCTTCTGGAAATAGACATTCTTTCAGGAGAATCATTGGACCGTCCCGCCAAATGTCCTGTCTATGTGTGCACAGCTGACATTTTGTTGAAATTCTGGGGTTTTCTTGATTCCTAAGGCTTCCTTTGTAGCCAGACCCTACAGATCAGCACACGTTGACCCCCAAGAACCCTTGAAAATTTCAGGTGAATCAGGAGTCTGGGTCACAGAGAGAGGAATATTTGCAGCTTCGTTTGCATTTCATTTACGCCACACGTGGATTAGTGAAACAGCCATTGGTTCCTTAGAGTGTTTACTGAGCACTTACAGAAGTGAATTAGCTCACAGGCCAGTAGGAGAGGCAAGACCCACACATAAATGTCTATAAGGTGGAAAGGGAGAAGTGCCCTAAACAAAAAGACAAATTGCTAAAGGAGAAAAATGTAGGGAAAGATTATTTCCTGACGAGACGAGTCAAAAAAACACCGACATGGAGGAGGTGGCACTTGAGCTGAGGTTTAAAGGATGAATAATATTCGAAACATGAAAATGGTTGGAAGGACGTCCTTGGTGGAGGAAGCAAAGGCACAGGGCTCTGTTGGGGAACTTAAGGAATTCAAATCAGCTGGAGAGACAGGTGCGTGAAGTTGATTAGTAGAGAGGAGGTACTAATGGGGTGGGGGCTCGTAGGTGGAGACCCAGAGGCCACAGGGGGGT